TCCTTCTTTTCCTTCCTTCCTTCCTTCCTTCCTTCCTTCCTTCCTTCCTTCTCCCATCACGGGAGATTTTAAAGAAGTGACTGGACAGCTATTTGTCTGAACAGGTAGAGGGTCTCCTGCCTGATTAGGGGGCTGGACTGGATGACCTCCGAGGTCCCTTCCAACTCTGTCATTCGGTTCTATTCTGTTCTAAAAATCCCCAAAGCAAAGCAAAAAAAAAAAAAGGGGGGGGGGGAAAGGGCCTAAAAAAAGGGGGGGGGGGGGGCTTTGTCCTGGAGCAACATCACCCCCCTTTGTCCAACCCCTTTAAATTAAATTTAAAAATCCAGATTAGATTAGATTCGATCTTGATTCAATCTCAACTCCGGCAGATCTAAATTTTAATATAGAATACAGGTTTTGTTCTTTAGTTGTAATCTATAGATATGTTCATTGGTGGTTGGAGGAGGGGGGAATTCAATACCTTAATTGGGCCCTGGTGGATATAAATTTGTGTGGTAAACTACTCTTGCCTCTGGAAGCTCTACCGTGCTCTTTCTTAGCTAAACAGGGCAGAAAACACACACATCTCCATGGGAAATTGGACTGAATGGCTCCCAACTTCCAGCATCTTCCCAGAGTTTGGAGGTCCTTCGGCCTCTGTTTTTTCGGGCATCGTGAGGTAGACTGCTGCTGGCTAGAGAGGCTCTCTACTGAACCTGTTGACTTCTGACCTCCTTTTTTTGTGTGTGTTTTTGCTGGCAGGTTGGGGCTGGATGTTTGCACCATTCTCCGCTTATCCGGGCCTTTGAAAGAGCAGTATGCAAAGGTAAATTTGGTTTAAATCTGATTTATTGTGCCTTTTTAAAAGAAAACTATTGGGGGGGGGTAGATTCTGGATTTATTTGAGCATGACCCATAGGTAATTCAATTTAAAACTTTTTGTTATCTGGGGTTTTTTGGGGGGAGCTGGAATCTGATTTTATTTGAGCAGGAAACACTGATTAAAGAAGTAATTTAGTTTAAAACAGTTGCTTGGTTTTGGGGGGGAAGTAGAATCTGCAAAATTCTATATATAACAGTTGAGCTAAGCCACGCCCAGGCTCCTTGCTGTCTCCTTGCTCACACAGCAAATACTCTTTCAGTTTCCAAACAGCCCTCAACTTTCTCACACAATGGTAGGACGCTAGCCAGATGAATACCGATGGAGGCTGGTAGGCAGAAGCAGAATTTTTCCCCCCCTTATTTTCCTCCCCAAAACCTAAGCCCGACCATAGCGAAACACAGGTTTCCAGCTCGTTCTCGATATATTTAAAAATAATAGAATTAAAGGGACATTTGTGCGCCCTGGAATGGAACCATTTGTCTGTTCTCAATTTTAAGGATTTTTTTTTCATGTGGCAATGAGTTCCGCAGGTGAATTAGCACCTTTTTTTTTTTTTTTTTGGAATTTTAGGAAGTTGAATGTGGAGAATTGCAGAGGAAATGTTGGGGTTTTCTTGCACGCAGGAACACGGCCTGGATTTCCAGCGGCTTTTAGACGCCACCGATTACAAGGAGCTGTACCGCGAAGACATGATCCGTTGGGGGGAAGAACGACGGCAGAGCGATCCCGGTTTCTTTTGCCGCATTGTGGTGGAAGGCGTGACGCAACCCATCTGGGTAAGGCCGGGCTGAATATACAGGTGGTCTTGAATTTACAGCCACAATGGAGCCCAATGTTTTAACTAATGTTAAAGATCTTGGGATTAACATAATTCCTAGCGTTGAAATAAACCAGAGTGGTTTGGACTAAGCGTGTGCTTAATTACGACCTTGGGAAGCCTTGGTTGGAACAGGGTTCTGTCCCTTTAAGAGGTGTTTATATAAAGGCAGCCATTAGAGGACGTGTCCTTTCTCCTTGTGTCCCGTATTCGTTGCAGAGTTCTCTGTGTTAAGAAGTTTAATCGCTTGTAAAGTATTTTGCTACCACGTTTATTTCTGTATATGTCTTGTAGATAAACCACGGTTAAATATCTAAGCCTCTGTGGGCTGTATTTGGCTCCTGGCTTGTCTCATAAAGAGTAGTCACGCTGCAAACGCTCTGACAACTAAGCAAGGCAATTTTTAAGCCCCCATTCTACGACCTTCCCTGCGACCGTCGTTAAGTGAATTCACGGCAACTTAGTCCCCCCGGTCATTCAGTGAGCCCATTTTCGCCATTGAGAAAGGTCACACAAAAAAAGGGGGGGGGAAATCATTTGACACCCACCGGGAGGAATGCCGCGACTGTCGTAAATACGAGCCAGCAGCCAAGCGTCTTGAATTTTGATCGTGGGCGTGTTGCGACAGTCATAAGTGTGAGAACATCCTTTTTCAGTGTCGTAACTATCTTGGTCCTGGGTTGGGCAAACGGGGCCGATCAGTTTAAAAGAATGAGGGAGGAGCAGATGGCCAGAATTTGAACTCAAGTCCCCAAGAGATTATATATTTTTTGCTTTTGCTTCTCTTCCTTTCTCTCTCCTTGCCAACGCAGATCGTGAGCGACACCCGCCGATCCTCGGACGTGGAATGGTTCCGTGACGTCTACGGGGACCTGGTTCAAGTCGTGCGGGTGATTGCCACGGAGGAGACCCGGAGAAGGCGGAACTGGGTGTTCGTGACAGGTAAAATGAGGTGGTCTGATTTGTGTCCAGGTGTACACGGAAGGACGGATAAAGCTGCTCTGTTCCGGTGTGGCTAGTGTAGAATCTGAAAATCAGAATATAGAATAGAATAGAATAGCATAGAATAGCATATAGAATAATATTGGAGAATAGAATAGAATAGAATAGAATAGAATAGAATAGAATAGAATAGAATAGAATATAGAATAATATTGGAGAATAGAATAGAATATTGGAGAATAGAATAGAATAGAATATAGAATAATATTGGAGAATAGAATAGAATATAGAATAATATTGGAGAATAGAATA